TGCAAATTGGCTACAAACAGCGGTAAATGAAATTTTAATGAGAACGTCTCTTACCGTTTTCACCACAACGAGAAATAGCGGGAATAAAGACCGTCTCATCAGAGGTAAAACGGTGGTATCTCATTGACATTTTTGTTGCGTGACACATTCCCAACCGTCGCACGCAAACCGTAGTCCACAATCTTAAAGTCCCTATTGGTGCTTCCCGAACAAGGTATGGAACAGCTACAAAATAACGTTAAGAATGTAAACGAGGAGTATCTTGGTGACATTGACCTGCGTACGCTGCTAACAACTCAGGTGTAGAACCTTTATGCCAGGGTGCATTCCGCATAGACCCCACGTCGAAGTTACGCCGAGGGCTTTGAAAACGTACGCCGAGTAGACCACAATTCTACGCCATTGGTAGCTCAAAAGCATTGTACCTGATTTATTTATTTATTGGCCACAGCCGCCACAGGTCAGGCAGCCTTTCGTGGCTGCGCCAGGTTAGTGAGGGTACGCCAAGTATTGCCTTCATCATTCGCTTCAGTACGCCGACATCTTGTCGATCGCACGCCGGGCCGGTACGCCGCAAAATTGTAAAACCCACGCCGAAGATCTTCGGCTTAACCTAAACTAAATGCAACCTGGCCTTCATGGAGTCTCCCACTTCAAAAACGAGACTTTCACTGATCTCTTCAGTATGCTCAAGACTTTGGAACAATTTCAAAGGAACCTTAAAAGAGAACAACGAAGTGAGGTGCGAAGTACTTCACGCATGAGGAGTCTTATTATCCGGTGCCTAAATCCAGTGTGGAGTTACGGGCTGAGATTTGATGAAACCTCCTCCAGCTGGTAACGTTGATCCCAACATTGAGGCAGCCATTAAGGAATTGGTTGATAGGGATCTGTAATGATCCTATGAGCAATAAAGTATCCAGACAAACAGATTTAACTCAACTAGTTTCATTGCAAACGTAACATGGCCGCAGCTATCAAAAGCACATGGTTTTCTCCTATCCCAGCATACTTAGCGGCCTAATACATTACAGTATCGACCTGTCAGATAAAGGACGGTAAGAAGCGAAGCAACAAAGGACGAAGCGGGAGCCCTGCCGCCAGCTGTATATTCCAGTACGCCATCGTGTACTAGAGTAACATTCCCAAGAAGATGTTCAAGACAATCCAGGGACAGGCAATTAAGAACGAGTCGACCAGGATACAAATGTTCCACGAGCTATAGACGAAGTACCGATAATTACCTTTATTGACGAAACGGCATGCTCGGAGTTGTCGCAGTTGGTGACGTCACAGACCTCCCCGAGCAAGAGGATGAATTCGACACCGTCTCGGAGAACGATGACCACTTTCATAAATGGCTGCCGAATTAATATTGTTTTGTTTAAATTTAAATTAGCCTTTCTGGCCTCGCTTGAGATAATGTATTCTTTTGAATTTTGTACTGGAGAACGAGGCCAGAAAGGCTAATTTAAATTTAAACAAAAGAATATTAATCCAGCAGTCATTTATGCAGTGTGAGA